GACGCATGCTGATTCTTATTTGTTTGATTCAGATGACGCCACATGTTTCATGCACAGGGCCATGTTCTAGCTTGAAAGTTTTACAAACATAAACTGATAAGCATATCATGATTTACGTTTACCAGAACTGACTGAGTAAAAACTACGAAGAATTCCAGTCAGGATAGCCGGTTTTATGGTCTAGATTAATATCCATGCATACAAACTACGTTAAAATTCATTTCAAGTCATAATTTGTAATGACGTTAATATTTATTCCAAGTTTTTCATGCCACAATGATCGTGCTGCATCAGGAGGTCAGTGCAATGACCTTAATTTAATTTATTTTATGACTGGTTCATGACAAACATAAAAATATTATATAACCTAATTCTCAGTTTATTTGATAGTGTGGGCTACTTTTGTCGGAATGAAAAATGGAATACAATGGCCGAATGTAATTTTACTTTTAACAATTCGCATTGTTTATTTGAAACACAAACATACAATTTTAATTTTATAGTCAGAAAGCACATAGCCACGGTGGTCTAGCGGTTAGAACGCTCGCCTTGTAATCCTGGGGTCTCGGGTTCCATTCCCGGCTGTGCCCGAATTTATAACTTGTGTTGAGCAAGGCCGTGGTCTAGGCAACACGGAGTTTTCCTCCGTGGCATCCGAACAATTACTCCATTCACACACAGAAGAAGGCAATGGCAAACCACTTCTGGATCATCTGCCAAGAACGTATATGAACAGGTCCCAGTCCGAGAAAAGGATGGAAGGATCCTGTTCATATGGACCTGTCGTCAGACAGAACACTAAATAAATAATAGTCAGAAAGCAGCTGCACGCATGTTTCCGTTGTTGGATTTCATCCACATTCAATGACTAAAAAATGAATAACGGATACAAATTTTGTATGTAAGGTAGGCTTATAGGTTACTACACGGAGGATGCGAAATCCATTCTCTCATCAGCCATATAAAACAAATGAAAGTTGGAGACAAAATACGTGTCTTTGCTCAAACAAGCGGATATGAAGCAATTGCTGGCATTAACACCTTCCAGTCACGTGCTGAGGATTCTGTTTAACACCGCGTCCTCTTCTGAAAGGAAAGCGACACATTCTCACGTCAGCTTATCATAAGGACATCTGCCGGATTGACGCAATTTTACCAAAGAACAAGTGAGGTATTCCTCGACAGAATTTGAACTGACGAGTAAATAATTCAACACTGTCAAAAGAACAAGCAGGTTAGCAAAGTAGTGATACAGTCCGATTCGAATTTAGAGGGTACCCGGTTCGAATTCAGTCATCGACTGCCCTGACTGGAATTTTCTCAGTCTCTCCCAGACGATATCGTATCTTTAAACAGGGCAGGAATGATATTTCCAACACCCACTACCCGTGATCATCACGTCAGTCGACGTCATAAAAATTAACGC